ATCAACAAAAAGAAAAATCATTTTCATTTCTCACACGGAATATTGGTCGCTTTATGATAGTTCGAGAAGGATCTGACGGCTTTGTACGTGCCAGAAAGGGTTCGCGTCTCGCCACTCTTCAGACGAATGCTCATCTCGAATGGCATTGACACATCACCCACGTGCACCCAGAGATCAATCTGGACTGCACTGTTTGCAGCCAGAGAATAGACGCTTTCCATTGAGTACAACTTTGTCGTGATTTTCTCCTCATTTGTCGTGACTCGAGTGACGTTTCCTTGAGTCCATGTACCCGTCCAACCTCCACCTATCGACGAAGACTTTGCTGGCACGACAGAAGCAACAGAAAACGAGAGACTCAGCGAGTGACTCGAGCTGCGCGATTCCTCTTTACCAACTAGATAGGTCATGCTCTCGGTAAAACTCTCCTCGAATCGAAACTTGCACTCGCCTTTTTGAGAATATCTACAATTATCGCAAATATGTGTACCGATCAAGGCTGGCTTTCTCTCCATTAGCGAGCCGATAGTCGAATGGTGCTTCACGCCAAAAACTTCGACGACCACGTTATTTTTTTTGTAGTACTCACAGGCTTTGCTGATCAGGAGCTCAGCGGACAAGCCCTTCAAGCTGTCTAATGTTCCGTAGGATTTTTTGTGTAGCTGTTGAGCGATCACATGTCGAAGACCCCAATGATCCTTGTAGCGCCAAAAAGACGCCCAATTGTTGGCGTGAAGAATGGAAAGCATGGCACCCGTGTGAACGAGCCAACCACCCGATTGCCCAGCATAAAAGGAGTAAGTGTGACTCGGCATTTGTTCTTGAATCTTTTTGATCAGAAAATCGCGCTCTTCCCGCTCGTCTAAGCTCTCGAGTTGTTGACGTGTTTTCCAGCCTGTGTAGCACAACAAATCGTCGATCCTGTACGGGTTGCAGTTCATACAATCAATCGAGCCATCCTCTGAAAGTTTTGTTGATTTTTCTTGATGTAACACCCAGTTTAAATACCAAAGCCCCGGCAGAGTGTCCCAAAATTATGAAGCGGATCCTATTTTGAAAGATTTATTATTTGATCTCAGTCTTTTTCTTACTTATGACTAAAATTCTTTTGTATTGACTTTTTTTTTTAGGGTAAAATCACAATTGGTTTTGCGACCAGCTATGGGTTATATAAAAGTAGATTAAACTTATCAAAGTTATATAAAAGTAGATTAAACTAAGTTAATCTTAAACTGAAGTAACAAAGCAAAAAAATGCAAACTTACTCGTTAATGATCTGTGAATGATAGAGATGAAAATGATCTGTGATAGCCACATCATCCACAAGATTTTCCTTTCTCGTGAAAGCCGAAAGCTGAAAGCCTTCAATTTATAGGAAATGAAAAAGGTTTTTGTCTTGTTGTTTTGACTTGAGAATAAAAATAAAGCATGGTTTCTCAAGAAAGTTTCACATAAAGTTTCTCAAGATAAAATCGCAGCTGTTATATTTACTGATCTTTTTACTGCTCTTAAACAACAAAAAGTTGTTTTTAATGACTAATTAGTCATCAAAAACAACTTTCCTTTTGGACATTTCATGACAAAACAAAACATTTCATGACAGAAACAGTTTTTCTTTGTTTTTCGATCTTTTTTTATTTGATAAAAGAATGCCCCATAGCATTACTGTTTGAGAAAAGAAATTCGTTGGGTAAAAAGTTGGATAAAAAAAAAGGGGGGACCCTCTTGATTTATTTTTGTCAGAAGGGAGGAAACGGGTATAAAACAGCTAGCCGTTTGACTAGTTTAGCTCACATTTTACAGCTGCAATTCATCATGAAATGTTTTGGCTTTTTTTTGGCTTTTATTTTTATGTTTTATTCAGGTAAACTTGCAAAGATGCTTTCGTTTATAAGCTATTGGGTTGGTCAACATAAAACATAAAACCATAAATAGTAATCAAAAGGGGCGAGGTCCGGAATCTATGGAGAATGCGCCAAAAGTTCCCAAACAAGGCTATTTATTTAGGCAATTTGCGGATTCCTCTTTCGTGGTAGGATTTTGGTTTGTGTGTGAGACAAGTGTGAGACTCCAAAATGGAGGACTGGAGATCTCCAATGTCCCAGTTTGAGGACTTTCTTCAAAAGAAACCCATTTTGGTGCAAATGGAAAAGTTGTAGAGAATCAAAAATTAGGCTTATAGCCAAATTTTCAAAAAGATACACTTAGTAGTTTCGCTTAAAATGAAAGTTTTGTGAAAATTCATAAATTTGGCACTTCTTGAAAACCAGTTTTTGAATCGTTCTGAAAATTTGGATATAAGCTCGATTTTTGATTCTCTACAACTTTTCCATTTACACCAAAATGGGTTTCTTTTGAAGGAAGTCCCCAAACTGTCACATATGACAATAGCCGGCAGTTTTCAATTCACCAAACCAATAGATTGATATTAGCCTTGACTTGAGGCTATCTAATCAATATCCAATTTGAGGATTCGGAGCCGGCCAGATTAGTTTAGCAAAAGGAGAGGGGAGGGGGTTATGTAAAAGCCCTGCGCCAGACGACGAGCGATTACCCGGCCGTACAAAGAACATACAAAACACAAGTTTTAAGCGAAACTACTAAGTGTATCTTTTGGAAATTTGGATATAAGCTTGATTTTTGCTTCTCTACAACTTTTCCATTGACACCAAAATGGGTTTCTTTTGAAGAAAGTGCTCAAACTGTCACATATGAAAATAGCCCGCAGTTTTCAATTCACCAACCCAATCAAAGCGATACTTTCCGGTTATAACGACTACCTGCATCTATGCTATTTACAACAAAGTTTGCATACAATATGCATAGAAAAAAAAGTCTAGAAATGTATAAAAGCCTTACCAAAAAGACTATATTGATGAATTTGAGTTTTTTCGGGGTAATTCCGGTTCTTTAAACGGTTCATCACATTTCTATGAGATTCTCTGAATCATTTTGATCATTTAGTATATCAATAAAGTTGTCTGAAATAAAAAGCGTTATCAAAAAGACTATATTGATGAATTTGAGTCTTTTTCGAAGACTTGGAACATTTTGAGGAATTTGAGACGGTAAATGAAAATTTGAGAGCAATAACAGGAAAGTACCTTAAAAACTTTTATTTTTTTAGAATCGACGAATGCAGAGGCATGGTTTACGGTTGGTTTATGCTTTTTGAAGTTTTGCGTTTTTTTTTGAACGCTTGCCGCAAAAATTGTTTTTTTTTTGGATATACGTAATATTGGACGGTCGCGTCCGTTCCCTTCCTATTTGCGTTTCTATTTGCATTTAATTTGCGTCGCATTTTCGTCTGGTTCTCGTCGCAAACAAAAAAAAATTGTTTTTTTCGGTTTTTCGACAGAATTTTTTGGTGTAAGTGATAGTTCCTTTCTAGTTCCTATTTAGTTCCTTTAAAGTTCCTTTATAGTTCCTTTCTAGTTCCTTTATAGTTCCTTTATAGTTCCTTTTAGTTCCTTTCTAGTTCCTTTATAGTTCCTTTATAGTTCCTTTCTAGTTCCTTTATAGTTCCTTTATAGTTCCTTTATAGTTCCTTTATAGTTCCTATTTACAGTGGCAGACAAAAGTTTTGCACCACCCCACAAATTCAGCAAAAACCGCTATAAAAATTTGAATAAAAGTTTCGGGTCAACTTTAACGTTTTAGATAGAATTGGTATGATTGAATACAAGGGAGCTAGTTTTGTAGGAAAACCGTGGTTTTCCTACAAAATATTGATGCCATTTCTTGTTCTATTTAAGTTTTATTCCAATTTGTTGACATAAAATCATGTTTTTTTCAGGTTCTCGTCACCCAACAAGCTGGTGCAAAACTTTTGTCCACAAGGAAAAGCAAAAATTGGACCGCATTTTTTTGAAGTCAAGGGAAACCCACGAGATATCATTATTTTTTTGTTGTATTCAATCATACCAATTCTATCTAAAACGTTAAAGTTGACCCGAAACTTTTATTCAAATTTTTATAGCGGTTTTTGCTGAATTTGTGGGGTGGTGCAAAACTTTTGTCTGCCACTGTAGTTCCTTTATAGTTCCTTTATAGTTCCTTTATAGTTCCTTTCTAGTTCCTTTATAGTTCCTTTATAGTTCCTTTATAGTTCCTTTATAGTTCCTTTATAGTTCCTTTCTAGTTCTTTTATAGTTCCTTTATAGTTCCTTTATAGTTCCTTTATAGTTCCTTTATAGTTCCTTTATAGTTCCTTTATAGTTCCTTTATAGTTCCTTTATAGTTCCTTTCTAGTTCTTTTATAGTTCCTTTATAGTTCCTTTATAGTTCCTTTATAGTTCCTTTCTAGTTCCTTTCTAGTTCCTTTATAGTTCCTTTCTAGTTCCTTTATAGTTCCTTTATAGTTCCTTTATAGTTCCTTTCTAGTTCCTTTATAGTTCCTTTATAGTTCCTCGCTCTTTTGTTTTGGGGGTTTGTCTTCGTTCTTTGGGGAATTGAATGTTTCTATTCATGTGCATGCTTGTTTTTGTAATGGCTATCATTGCATTTTTGATTTTGTACTAATAAATCGTAAAATTATAAATCCAATTTGCTTTTACGCTAGTCTTAAGAGTTGTACTAGCATTTGTGTTGTCATCTAGCATGAGCATTTGTTACTAGCATTTGTGTTGTCATCGACAAAGAAGCGTCAATGCGTTTTGTACTCGTGTCACGAATGTTAACCTTATGCTGAATGTTGCGTATTCTCGTTATGTTGTGAGCGTTTTGGGGGAAACTCGTTTAACCTTTTGTTAACCTTTAACTACTGTTAACCTTTAACTACTGTTAACCTTTAACTACTATTCCGAAACAAAATCATCCCCGATGATAAGGTTAAAGCGGGTTACACCGCGAACTAAATAGTGAAAGTAAAAAAAAGATAGAGTAGAGATTCTTGCAATTAGCTTTAGTTTTTAGATGAAATTTGAAAAATCTTATCCTCTTATCTTATCTATTAACAAAGGTATGTACTCGTGCTTTTAAAAAACCCAAAAGTTTTCGCAATGCAAGGGCAAACTTTTCAGGTTCACGTTGAGCCAAAGTGTGTGAGTGGGGCTGAGCCGGTTTGTTTCCGAAGAAGGAAAAAAAAAAGCCATTGACACAAATTTCTAGTATTACCTGCATCTAAGCTTGATGGAACACGACGAAAGTAATGCAAACGATGTTGAAGACGGAAAACTATGTGAGAGTAGGATTTGGATGCTTGAAACAGTACATTGGGGATGATGCTTTCAGAAGGATGCACGCTGAGAACAAACGACAACGACGATGCGGGACCGCGCATGGAATTCTACCTCAAAGCCTCATTCAAATGTGCCATCTGGGATGTAAGTGTCGTTTACATTAAAAAGACTACTAGAGCCTTCAAAAAAAAAGAAAAGTTTCCAATTACTCATATAAAATGCATCTTTGTGGATCATTCAAAACGGCAATTTTCCAGCAAGTCGTCGAGCATTGTTTTCATTTCGACTACACTTATCAAAATGTGGACTACACAAGCATCGTCGAGCTTCATCTTTCCCAAAGCCATAAGAGTGGTGATTGGTGGAAATCTGACAACGTGTAAGCATTCTAAACAAAGTCGCTTACCGATGAGCAAACTTAGAAAGATCTACGGGATCTACTGGTGCTAGTTGAACGTTCCGAGAGCTCGAGAGATGCTCACAATTGTTCACAAAAAGCGATACGTTTGCAACTGAATAAACTTTGATACTACAGTGATGAAAACATTGCCCACTTTCTCAAGTAGAGTGGGCTCCTCTCAAATCTTAAACAACGACCAAGCGAGAAGCAGGCCTCTACAAAGTCGGTCCGCAAAATTTACAATAACCGATGACGTTGAAGGGGTTTCCTATACGTTAAAGCCCTTTGCCAGAAAGTACGCGATTGTGCGCGCGCACAAAGAACACCTAAGCGATTTAGTTCTCGGCCGTTTCAGCCATACAGTATGACGGTTCGGGCTCATTTTTATGTCAAAAGATGCGCCTTGAAAAACTGCGTCGACTGGACCCTGGGTTTATTTGGCGAAAAGTAAATTTGAGTGGTCAAAAACGAGATTGAAACTTTAAAACTGTGATCTCAACTTCAGTTATAGTGGAAATTTGGGGTTTGTTTGCTTAAATCTTTCAAGGGTGAGGCTAATTCTTTTGAAAATTACATAAATAATGAAATTTCCTAATTATCAAAGCAAAACGTACGCAACTTGCGCTCGAAATTCGCAGAAAAATATGAAATCACATCAAAAAGTCGTTTATTTTGTTTATTCTTTTGTACTTTCCGTCAAAATATAACAAAAACAATTGTGTTTTTGGTATTTACATTAAATATCAACTATGTTATAATAATTAGCTTGAGAAAATTGTGGTCAGGAATCATTTTTTGGTTCCGACAAGATTTCAAGAATTCATTAATAAGCCTGGGAAGCGTTGAGGAACTTTTCGAAATTGATTGTTTCGATTGTATGATATTTAAAAACGTTTTCCATTATTGGATATACTCATATTTTTAAAATGATCAGTGGAATTGACGGGATTTTGTTTCAGGTGAGCTGGATCTGTGAGCAAGGTCTTGATAATGTTGACATACCGTAAATATTGTAATTGGACGCCATTGCTGTACTACCATTGCTGTACGGCCATTGCTGTACTACCATCGCTATACTATGATTGCTGTCTACCATTGCTGTCTACCATTGCTGTCTACCATTGCTGTCTACCATTGCTGTCTACCATTGTTGTACTACCATTGCTGTCTACCATTGCTGTCTACCATTGCTGTCTACCATTGTTGTACTACCATTGCTGTCTACCATTGCTGTTTACCATTGCTGTCTACCATTTCTGTCTACCATTGCTGTACTGCCATTGCTGTCTACCATTGCTGTACTGCCATTGCTGTCTACCATTTCTTTACTATTGCCTTTTATACATCCATATAGCCAATAGGCATCAGTTTAAGTACTTTTTATTCGAGTCTAGTTTTTTGTTTAGAAAAAGACGCTTTTTGACTCCCAAATTAAGCTTAGACGATGGTGTACAAGTAAAATATTCAAGAAATTCAATTATTGCAGATCTATGAGTTTTTACATCCCGGTTTATTGGCTATTTATACAACCGATTGCGCCACAGACGCTCAGCGTGTACAGCTTCAACCTAACACTTTGAAAGGTTTTTATAGAGAATTTTTCAAAACGATAAGGTTCTCTCAGGGTGCTTCTTTCTATTAATAGGGATCATCTTTGAATTCTTATATGCACTTTGTATGAAGGCCATGTTTCAACGAAAGTTTATGCAAATAATCCCTTATCGAATCTTGTGAGTGAGCAAAGAGATTCACTTGATTGGTGGCTTTTCTAGGTTTGCTATTGGTTGTCTAGACATGCTGAGCATTGTTTTGAACTCGATTTTGCCAGGTGATTACTGTTGTGAGAATTCTGTGAGCAGTTATTGCATCATTGCATTGCATTTTTCAATTTCCAGGCTATTGGCTCATCACCGCTCAATCGTTTTGTGAAAGTCCGTTGCTGAATTTGTACATTGGATCGTTTACTTTCCGTAAGCCAGTTTTTTGTTTTTGTAAAGAAAGTATCGTTAAAATTGGAAAGCAGAAAAGAAACTTGGAAATGCGAATTGAATGAGATTGATGAGTTCAATTTGATAGCTGTTGATAGCTGTTGATAGCTGTTGATAGCTGTTGATAGCTGTTGATAGCTGTTGATAGCTGATCATAGCTGTTGATAGCTGATCAATTTGATAGCTGATCAATTTGATAGCTGATCAATTTGATAGCTGATCAATTTGATAGCTGATCAACTTTGATAGCTGATCAATTCGATAGCTGATCAATTCGATAGCTGATCAATTTGATAGCTGATCAATTTGATAGCTGATCAATTGATAGCTAGATTGTTTCTAGCATCTTGGGCAGCATATGTTGGTCTCAACGTTTCACTCGGTATCAATCGACTCATCGATTTCACATGGCCAAGCTGGGAGATGGTAAGAGTTTGTTTGATGAAGCATAACTGAACAAAAACATCATAGAAACTATTTGGTGGGAAACGGATCGTTTTATGGACCGGTTTACCGACACTCTACGGTTTATTTCTTTATTTTTTCTTGCCTCCAATGCTTTACTATCCTGGGACGGGTGGTTACTATTTTGGGATCGAACCGGGGAAAATTGAGGTCAAAAAACGATAAAAAACGATAAAAAACGATAAAAACGATAAAAACGATTCGTTTAGACACGCTAAAAACGTTTAGACACCGCTCTACTATTCAATTAGCGACGCTAGCGTGGCGACAATAATGTTGCTTCTGAATTTGCTTATGATTAGAGCCATGTACCGGAGAAATGCGGCGATGATGACAAAATTGCAACGAGTGGTCGGTGTAGAATAGAAATGTTTCAGATAGAAATAGAAATGTTTGCCTGACACCTAATTTCATCTTCGTTTTCTCGGCCACAAATCATTCTAAAATTTTGGCTTATAAGGAGATTTTCCTGGTTTTTACCATTGCACAAAATTTCATAAAGATTTGCGCAAAGGTAGCAAAGCGAAAAGGCATCTTTTTTCTTGCTGATTCTTGCTGATTGCCTTTCTTTTGTATTTCGAGATACTTTCTCTTTTCATTTCTTTTCATTTCTTTTGCAATTACACATCATACACATCTACCTGAGGGAGTCGATCCACTTAAATGATCTATAAGTCAAGATGTAAAAGATGTTTCACCAAACAAGACATATTTTTCGTTGCAGAAAAACAGATTTGACACAGGAAAGCCCTTTAATTTTGGTTTTTAACAAAAATATTTTAACGTAACGATTTGTTTTTGCTTTTAGACGATAAACGTTTCGATTTGCACATTTTTAGGTTCTCTTCTTTTTTTCTTTAATCTTGAATTCAGTGTTTATAAAACTGAAATCGTTGTACCAAGTGCAAAGCGTTTGTCTCCGCAAAGATTTTGAAATATAAAACCCTACCAGTTTTGGTGGCATTGTTTATATGACAACAAAGTAACGAATTCAAGTACTTTATCTAGAGTATGATAGCAGTAGAAAACGTAGAAACGTCACGTAGAAACGTCACGTAGAAATGTAATGTAGAAATGTAATGTAGAAATGTAATGTAGAAATGTAACGTAGAAATGTAACGTAGAAATGTAACGTAGAAACGTCACATAAAATGTAACGTAGAAAATGTTGGTGAACGGTGGAAAATTTGAAAATGTTTTAGGATCGAATTTCTTTAAACAAAAAACCACTTAGATTATGATTCAATGCCTTGGGATGAGTGTGACCGTTTTGTTATGTGCTTGGCTTTATGTGTTGATGCAAATCGTTCCGATGCCTCAATTCATGGTCACTGGCGCGAATTTGTTTTGGATTTTGTCGAATGGTGAGTGAAATGAATGCCAAAAAAATTGTCTAAACTTTCCAGGGAGCATGATGATTTTCTATCTTTTTGTCAACAAAGCGATGAGGAAAGAAGTGCAAAAGATTTTGAGGAAACACTGTTTGCTGAAAGTGAAACCAAAGCCTGTTTATGGTTGTGAATGTAAGTGATTTTGGGAATAAGGGAAATCAGAGTTGGATGATGTTTGAAGTTTGTTTGAAATACGATAATCGTGTGCCGAATATTCGACATCAAATTTAAATTTGGAATTTAAACAATCAATTGTATTGTATTGTATCAATCAATTACCTTTTGTATTGCCAATTTTCGTGTAGATGGAGTTCGTGTACTGAATAGACGTTTTCCATTTCAACGTTTTCCTTGAGTAGACGTGTTTACTGAATAGAATAGCTTTAACGTTGATTTGTTTTGTTTAAATGTTTTTTGCATCCAGATTGATTGAATATCTTCATCCTGGGGCATAATATTACCCAAAAATCACAGTAATTCATTAATTCAACAAGCCATCAGTAGAAAATGAACAAAGGATTTAATTGTGAGCGTTGTTGCATGTTGAAAACTGAACAACGACAGGCACATGTGCAGTTTCAGTTTAAGCTTTCAGTTACAATCAATTTGGGATCTAAACAATCAATTTGGATCTAAACAATCAATTCCCTTTTGTATTGCCAATTTTCGTGTAGATTGTATTGCCATTTAAGCCGTTTACTGAATAGGATATCTTTAACGTTGTTTACTTTATTTAAGTGTTTTTTTGGATCCAGATTGATGGAATATCTTCATCCTGAGGCATAATATTACCCAAAAATCACAGTAATTCAACAAGCGATCAGTAGAAAGTGAACAAAGGATTTAATTGTGAGCGTTCTGCATTTTGAAAACTGAACAGCGACAGGCACGTATGCCGTTTCAGTTTAAGCTTTCAGTTACAATCAATTTGGGATCTAAACAATTAGTTACCCTTTGTATTGCCAATTTTCGTGTAGATCATTTAGCCCGTTTACTGAATAGAATATCTTTAACGTTGATTTGTTTTGTTTAAATGTTTGTTGCATCCAGATTGATTGAATATCTTCATCCTAGGGCATAATATTACCCAAAAATCACAGTAATTTAACAAGCGATCAGTCGAAAATGAACAAAAGATCTAATTGTGAGCGTTGCTGCATGTTGAAAACTGAACAGCGACAGGCACATGTACAGTTTCAGTTTAAGCTTTCAGTTACAATCAATTTGGGATCTAAACAATCAATTACCTTTTGTATTGCTAATTTTGTATTGCCAACGTTGGCAAATCATTTAACCCGTTTACTGAATAGAATATCTTTAACGTTGGTTTGCTTTATTTAAGTGTTTTTTTTGCCAGAATTTTGCGTCTCTTTTTTCATTCATTAAAGGGAAATACAATTCTTGTAAATCGAATAAAAACTATTGTTTTCGTCTTTTCGTCTAAAAAACTAAGTTGATTCGTCAGATTGCACGTCAATTTGAAAAGTAAAGGGTTTATTGCAAAAGTCAGAGAGTTTCAGCATTCGGAAAAATCATTTTCGATGTCTTATCTCCCAAAGCATGATCGCTAAAAAAATAATCGCCGAAATGAGCAACATGAATGTCCAAATGACAGCTCGATAATTTCTCTAAAAAAATAAAAAAAAACGTGTTTGCTTGATATTCTTGATATCGATTGATGCTAAAATTTGAGTTAAAACAAATTTAAACTTTTTTTTTGATGAAATAGAAATAGATGACTTGGCTGACTAGTTTAAGGCTTTAGTTTAAGGCTTTAGTTTAAGGCTTTAGTTTAGTTTAAGTTTAAGGCTTTGGTTTTAAGAATATTCTCTTTTTTTCTTCTTCACTTTTCACTTACCAACCATGATCGTTCTTTTCTTTCTTCTGGTGGGATTACTGGTGAAATTGTTGTCGACTGTTTCGGTGTTGTGGCATTACTTTCAATGATTTCAATGATTGGGGCTTTTCTCGTGATTTTCCACAAAGAATCAAATGAATCTTTCTCTCTTTCGACCATTCTGCAAAAGGAATTTGAGAAAATTTATTAAGGATTTAATATGGAAATCATCTAATTCAAAAATTCACAAAAAAAACGGTTTGTTTATATTGTTCTTATAAAAGGACAAATATAGAAAATATAGTTAAAAGTATGAAATAAAATGATTTTTATGTTATTAATAAATAAAAGACTTTCCATTCAGCTGAATCAATCCTATTTTCTTGGTAAAATGCTCAATGTTATCGATAATCAAATAATCGAATCGTTATGGAAACCAAATTTTCTTTCCGCTCCGATTTCCTTTCTTCTTTTGTTCTTTTGTTTACAAGGAAGGACAAGGACAAGGATGACAAGGACAACAATCATCGTATTAACTCTTAATTATTCGATCGAAAGTATCTAGTTAAAGCTGTATCAAGAGAATCTCTCTCAACACTGACAGAGACAACACTGATAGAGACAACACTGATAGAGACAACACTGACAGAGACAACACTGATAGAGACAACACTGACAGAGATAACACTGATAGAGACAACACTGATAGAGACAACACTGGCAGAGACAACACTGGCAGACTCAACTCAACAAGACATCATTTTACTTCCGAAATTCTGTGAATCCTCACTAAAACTTCTCATTTTTTATCGGAAATCATCGGAATTTTGTATAAAGAGAAATCAATTTACATAATTTAATTGCAAATCAAGGCGTTAGACACAAAAAAAAAGAATACAAAACTTTAACAAAATCATGAAGTAATGTCAACGCGTTGCGATATCGATTTGATGTCGATGATTTTGTGAAAAATCTCAATCAATTTCCCACGCATTTGTTTATTGATTGCTAGCCCAATGTAGGCTTCGCTTAGAGTTGACAAATCCGAGACTAGATTCATCTAAAATCCTTTTCTTTTCAAAGATCAATTATCAATCATGAAAAAAGAAATGAAAAGATAAAACAAACCATAAAGCTAATCATCGTTAATTCGACAAGTTGAAGACCAAAAGTCTGAAATAATTCTGAAATAAACTTTAGCTTTTTTCTTTTCACATACAACGAAGAGCCAAAGGCCGAGTTGAGTGATCATTGTGCAGAAACAGATAAAGAAAAGATTCAATTTCACTCGACTCCACGAATTATCTCTAGAAGATTTTATAAATCTACAATTTTGTGCTTCAAAAAAAATCGATTTAAAACCTTGTCTTTGTTCTTCTCAAAAGAAACAATTTGATAAGAATCAATATGTTGATGCCGAGTGAGATAATTGGATAAATAAAGCTCATAAATTTCACGATATATATCGAAATCAAGTATTCCTGAAAAGTTATTGATAAATAGATGTCGTTGAAACTCGCAAACTAAACATGAATCTCAGGAGATTCATGATAATGATTCGAGTTTCAACGACATCAATTTATCATCTGAGGTTCCCCCTTCGATTTTGATGCTGCGCTCAAGCGCATGCTATACCTTCAGTTTAAGCTTTCATTTACAATCAATTTGGATTTAAACAATCAGTTACCCTTTGTATTGCTAATTTTGTATTGCCAACGTTGGCAGATCTAGGGATACCCCCATAGGGATACCCCCATAACTGGGGATAGGGATACCCCCCTAGGGATACCCCCCAATTGTATACCTGTATCCTAGGGATACCCCCATAAATGTATAACTGTATCCTAGGGATACCCGCAAATGTATACCTGTATCCTAGGGATACCCCCGATAAATGTATACCTGTATCCTAGGGATACCCGCAAATGTATACCTGTATCCTAGGGATACCCCCGATAAATGTATACCTGTATCCTAGGGATACCCGCAAATGTATGCCTGTATCCTAGGGATACCCCCGATAAATGTATACCTGTATCCTAGGGATACCCCCAAATGTATACATGTATCATAAAGAGACCTCAAAAACTCATTGCAGATTCAGAATCACCGTGAAAAACAGCATCAGATAGGCTATTTGCTGAGTCAAAAAAAAGCTACGATAAGTTAACAACATTCCCTAGTCAGATAAACAATGATTTACATCCACGATCGTTCTTCCTTGCACCACTGTGTCACCGACTCGAACATAGAGGCTTCCTTTAAGGAAAAAGTATTGATAAGAGAATAGAATTCCGATTAGATATGTGAGAAGAAAAGCGAAGTTGATGTTTCGTGGAATCCAGAGCTAAAGTTCATTGTTTTTCTTTTTCTTTTTCTTTTGTACGAAGTCTTTTAATAGTAAGTATAGTTTAAAAGACTGAATTCTTTTTTCCTACCAACTTTTTGATGATAAATCGGTAAATAAACACTGGTGAAACGATTTAAATGCATCAAAATTTGAGCAAAATTTTGAATATGAAATGCGGCTCCTTGAAAAACGATAAATAAACGAAATGGCCAAAATGTTTGCTCGATTCCGGCATAGAATGAGGTTAAAGCACGCAGTGTCGGCAATTTAAGTGTGATAAATGTATTGATATAGGTGAGAAGATACTAGACAAAAAGGGTTTATTTAGATTATTTAGATTATTTAGATTATTTAGATTATTTTATTCCCTGTTCTTTATCATTTGTAAATGTTTATTTAAAGTGTTTTAAAAGTGTTATTTCAAAAAACAAACCACAATTATTGTAAATGTGTAAGTTTCCCAAAATTTCAGAACAATCCAATCTTCTGAAGAGGTTCATTTTCAAATTAGCCTCAAAATGCACTTTTGTGCTAATTTAATCCATTTTCGTTTGAATTTAATCAAGATTGTAAAAAATTGTAAAAAAAAAAGATTAAAAGAAAGAGAACGGTTCGATCGATTGGATTGTTCTGAAATTTTGGGAAACTATGTAATCGATGAAGCGTTTTATTTTAAAAAGTATGCAATCACTCAAAAATATATTAGCTCATGAATGCTAGAAATCAGGATTTTGAACTCTTACATTAAGATGCCTAAATTTGGTTCCTTATCTCTACAAATTTGGTTCCTTATCTCAGTAAATTTGGTTCCCTTTCTCTCTAAATTTGGTTCAATCTCTACAAATTTGATTCCTTATCTCCCCAGACTTGGTTCCTTATCTCTCTAAATTTGATTCCTTATCTCCCCAGACTTGGTTCCTTATCTCTCTAAATTTGATTCCTTATCTCCCCAGACTTGGTTCCTTATCTCTCTAAATTTGATTCCTTATCTCCCCAGACTTGGTTCCTTATCTCTCTAAATTTGATTCCTTATCTCCCCAGACTTGGTTCCTTATCTCTTAAATTTGATTCCTTATCTCCCCAGACTTGGTTCCTTATCTCTAAATTTGATTCCTTATCTCCCCAGACTTGGTTCCTTATCTCTAAATTTGATTCCTTATCTCCCCAGACTTGGTTCCTTATCTCTCTAAATTTGATTCCTTATCTCCCCAGACTTGGTTCCTTATCTCTCTAAATTTGATTCCTTATCTCCCCAGACTTGGTTCCTTATCTCTCTAAATATCTCACATTAAAATGCCTGAAAAAGTTCTAAAATAAAACATTTTTCAAAAATTTAAAAAAGCCAACAATCCAATCGATCGTACCGTCCTCTTTCTTTTAATCTTTTTTTTAAAAATCTTGCTTAAATTCAAACGAAAATGGATTAAATTAGCACAAAAGTGCATTTTGAAGCTAATTTGAAAATCAACCTCTTCCGAAGATTGGATTTTTCTGAAATTTTGGGAAACTATGTAATCGATGAAGCGTTTTATTTTATTCCTTGTTTATTCCTTGTTTATTCCTTGTTTATTCCTTGTTTATTCCTTGTTTATTCCTTGTTCTTTATCATTTGTAATGTTTATTTAAAGTGTTTTTTTAATTTCAAAAAACAAACCACAATTAGTGTAAATGCGTAAACTCTATAGAAAGATGTTTGAGGGAGAGTTTTATTGATGAGAATGCAAATGATAAGGGATAAGTTAAGAATAGCTGATGGGATACCATAAATACAATAAATAAAGAAATAATATTCCATTTTCGACAATAAAATGTTAAAGATTTTTTTCTGATATACCTTTTATGAGGAAGTGAAATTCTTCTGTCTAGTGAACTAAAATAATTGAAACTTTTTTTGGAAAAAGATTCGAGATTTTTGAAGATAATTGGGTCATGTCTAGAGGCTATTTTTCAAAAAATTTCAAAACATTTTTCTTATTTCAATTTTGAGAATAAATAAATTGAGTTTGGGTGTAAATCTGGGCTTCAGTTGCTTCATTAATTGAAAGCATTAGCGAACACTTGAAGCTTTGAAACTTTGAAACTTTGAGGCTTTAAAGCTTTAAAGCTTTGAAGCTTTAAAGCTTTGAAGCTTTAAAGCTTTGAAGCTTTGAAACTTGAAGCTTTGAAACTTTGAAGCTTTAAAGCTTTGAAGCTTTGAAGAGCTCTGAAGAACTTTGAAGCTTTGAAGAGCTTTGAAGAACTTTGAAGCTTTGAAACTTTGAAACTTTGAAACTTTGAAGAACTTTGAGAAGAAAAGCTGATTAGCTTTGAAGAGCTTTTAAAAGAAAATTTGATTAGCGTTTTTATTGGGTTGTTCAATTATGAATGCGCGTTTTTGAATATTTTGTAAATTTCTCAAGATACCGAAATCAAGAAAAAGATATCTATGAGTATTATTCGAAAGCTGAAGATCTCCTCTACATTTTGATATAAAAAGTTTTTGAATTTGTTCAGCTTTTGGGCAAATTGACTGCACAGAAGAAGAGGTGGCCAAAAAATGGAAAGGTGCCTTTGGATCAAGTTTTGGCTCCGCTCAAATTGAGTTAACCGTTTGATATTTGGCCAATACATATATCAATACAACTTTTTTTTAAAATATAACAATTTCAGAGCACCTTTACTTTTCTTTTCTGTTCTGGGCGGTTATTTTACACCATAAAACTTGAGGAATAGCTAAGTTGGAATGGGTTTTTTTTTTTGAAAACGACCTCTCCCTTTGTGCAGTCAATTTCCCAAAAAGTTGAATGAATTCAAAAACTTTTTTTATTCCAAAATGTAGAGAAGATCTTCAGCTTTCGAATGATATATAACACTCATCTAAATCTCTTCGATATCTTGAGAAATTTACAAAAAAGTAAAAACCCGCATTCATAACTGGACAACCCAATAGAATTAATTACTATAAAAATCCTTTTTGTGCCTCATTATTGTGGAATAATTGTGTGTTGTGTTGTGTGAAAAATTCCGGGATCGGGGCGATCGTGGAAGTGAAAAAAAAAAGAGGCGTGGGACGGCGAAATCCGTGGGGCGATCGTCAGTATGAGGCCTGGGTCCAGGGAATTGGAAAAGACTAAAGATGATGGAAAAGTGGAGGGGAAAGGGGAGGATGTTGGAAGGAAAGGGATACAGTGAGGGGGTTTTATTAGGAACCGCGTTTCTCAGAACTTATCGAAAAGTTGTGAAGGAGGACGATCGATTGCGAGTTTATCTTGGCTAACAAAATTTTTTGACAAATCTCAGAGCAGCAATAGCGTTTAAAGTCTTAGATGAAAGGGATAAAGGGTTAAAAATTCATGAATCTTGAAACGACTTAAAAGAGGCACACAGAAACAAAGAAAAAGAGAGAATCGATAAAACCCAGGATGATTGATTAGATTGATTGCTTAGATTGATTGTTTAGATTGATTGATTAGATTCATTGATTAGATTGATTGATTAGATTGATTGATTAGATTGATTGTTTAGATTGATTGATTAGATTGATTGATTAGATTGATTGATTAGATTCATTGATTAGATTGATTGCATAAAACCCGTGTATACTTTCTGAGATTTTCACTTTATTTATCGAGAAATTGGGAATTGAAAAAGTGCCCTTTACTGTTGAATTGTCTAATTTAAAACTTTGTAATGCTTATTTGTCGAAAAATTGCTTGTAAATCGATTCATAGGATTCATAGGCTTGTTTTTATGGAGTGATGAGTCACCAAACGCAAAAGAAAACGACTCAAAAGAGGCACACAACAAAGAAAAAGAGAGAATCAATAAAACCAATGACGCAAGATTTGAGAAAGCTGAAAGGAAAGAAGAAAAGATCATTTTTTTGGCTAAAATATTCTGTACAAATCTTTTGTTAGATAGTTGTTAGATTTCTCTGCAATCTATTGTAGAATCTTTCTCAAATTTACCCACATTTACCTCCAATACTATTCGAATATTTAAGATTAAAATAGAAACCCAAATACAGTATTCTTTCTACAGCTTCAATGAATCCCAATGTTTCACTTCTACTTTTGAAATCGTTTTTAAACGAGGGAAAACTAAAAATTCGTGACTTTCCCGGAATTCTTTACGCGGAAAATTATAAAATTTTCTTAAACAAGCATTGTCCAAACGTGAATGTTATGGAAATTTTTGCAAGTTTACCGAAATATTTCGAATTTCTGCATAAAGAAATGATTGAAACGAGAAAATTGACAATTCATGGATGTTATGGAGATTGGGAATTCGTAATTCGCAAATTACCATTCGAACTTTTTAAGTCAAGGGAGATTTTTGATCGCTTTTGTCTTGAAGCTTATCAGGTATGATATTTAAATTAAAATGCACACTTTTTTAGAAAACTCATTTTATTAGGAACCGCGTTTCTCAGAACTTATCGAAAAGTTGACATTTGACGAAGCATTAACAAAACTCGGGATCAACTTTCGCTTGACTCCGAAAGTGGAAAGGGAAATGCGACTGAAACGGATAAAGAAGAGATTGAATGTGGAAATTGATGGTGGAGAAGATGAAGAAGAACAGTATTTGAGTGAGTGAATAGAAACATTTACTTATTTAGTATAGTAACATTTACTATAGTATAGTAATCTAGTAATCAACCAGTTCAGTAAATGAAAGTTCTCCGTAAAAGTCCCCCCTTAGCTTTGGCTGCTATCAATAAACAACTTTAGAATGGTGTTCTGAAGATGATCGGACAACAAGCGGAAATACTGTCAGCTTTTGGCACAAAATTATTGATTCAAGGAATGTGGATTTGGATGGTATAGAGAAGGTTGATTGATTGAAATCCAGGCAAAGCCAGCCTAAAGCCAGCCTAAAGTCAGCCTAAAGCAGTCTAGTCAAAATTTTGGTAACAAACTGCAATAGGAAATCATTTTTACCTCACAATAATGTAAATTCTCTTTGACATTTAAACAAAAAACTTTCAGAATCTCTTTCTCACCAATTTTCGCTTGATCTACGAAGATGGGAATTTCAAAATTGCCACCGGACAACGAGGAGATTATTATTTGATCTTTCGCTATGCAACATCGTGAATCTTGATTGAATGAATGGCTGTAAATGATTAAAGAAACATCTATTTCATTTAAAACATACCATAAACTTGCCACTTTAAGAAGTTCTGTGTCTAAAAAATTGATTTGTCCCATTGCGTTTCCTAAAAAGCTTTAGACAAGTTATAGATAAGCCAGAGAAATCTAGATTTTATAGCTTTAAAAGAATCTTTATAAAAATGTACAAAAATAGCTATGGCTTTATATTCTTAACCTATCTATAAAGCCGTTTCGTTTCCTAACTCTCTCCTAACTCCTATCATCTCTATTTTATCAAATCTATTCACTTTTTAATCTGTTTCTCTAGCTTTCACATATTTCAAGATGAAGTGAATAGAAAGATAGATAAGATTTGTAGTTTTAAGAAAAGGGGCGACTGAAAAGGGAGAACTTGATCGTACGTGATTCAACTATGACGTATGATCAAGTCTATCACAAAGCTAGATGTCAATTGATTAAGCTAATCTACTCATTGCTTGAATTCACTCAAGTTCAAGTGGTTCTTTGGGAAAAGGGGTGTCTTTGCGTCATTGTTTGGAAGAAAAAGAAAGGAGAAATTTCTGGAGTTAGAGGACTTGAGAAAGGACCTAAACATGGAGTGATAACGAGAACTGGATTTGCGAAGTTGGCCGCTCCCCTTCCGCATAAAAGGATTGTTCTGGACCTGGGGTTTCTTCTCGTTTCAACAAAGCCTTTGATATCAGTTTTTTTTCACTATTATAGATTTGTATATAATAGAAATCCATAGCTATTTTTGCACATGTAGCTATTTATGAAGCGATTCTTCTAAAGCTATAAAGGTTAGATTTCCCTGGCTTATCTATGACTTGTCTAAAGCTTTGCTAAACCCTAATTATCTTTCGTCGCATCTGATAATCTTATACATATATATATTAAAGCTACATTCCCTTACCTGTACTTTATCTAGACTTGTTGCAAGAAAGTAGTTTTCTATTGTTATTTATTGTTATTTATTCTTATTTATTCTTATTTTATTCTTATTTCATATTTCTTGAAACTCTTTATTAGAATGTTTATAAATCTGATATCAAATTTTAGTTGAAATGATCATCTTGTTGCCACTAATCTCTTCTCTCTTTTCGCTCACCAACTCAGCGAATCTTCAACGCTTAAAGCGTCAAGTGCAAACTGTTTACATTTGTGGAAGTGGTTTGGGACAATATATCTCAAATTATCGTTGGTTTTAAATACAAATAAAGTTAAGCAAAGCATTAATCCCCATCTCTATAATGACGGTGCGGAGTGTTAGCTTTAGCTAGCTTTGAACGAGTTTTTCTTGACACTGGTTTATGCTACAATGCGCGCTTAGGTATCAAAAAATAGCCCTGAATTTCAGCTATTTTTTGATACCAAAGACGCATCTTTTGAAAGTACGGGCGCTTTGAAAAACAATGAAATACTAAAAACTACGCGACTGAGACTGAGACTACGCGACTGTACGAGGGGGATGGAGTCCAATTACAGTATTTACGGTAGTTGTTGTTGTTCTTGTCAAGTGCAAATTGTTTACATTTGTGGAAGTGGTTTGGATTTGTTAAAATTATCGTTGGTTTGTCATTATCGTTGGTTTTAAATACAAAAAAAGTTAAGCAAGGCATTGATTTTAGCTTGTCAAAATTGGGGATGCGAAAATGGTGGTTGCAATAACGGATGTTCGAATGGGAACTGTCAATACTCGAATGGGGTTAGTCGATTCAGAATTCTTCAACTATAAAGTTTCTAGATCGTTTCACCAACCTTCTACAAACCGTACTCGAATTGTAACTCTGGATGCGGCAATGTCAACTGCAACAACTTCTATGGACAGTATTTAAACGGGTAAAATATTACTTTAGATTATAGATAAATAGAAAAAAATGAAATTTAGATGATTTAGGTGTAGTGACTATTGTACTTTGAATAAACATTTCTCTAAAAGACTCAATCTTTCAGCCAATACATCGCTTACAGTCCCACCAACAACGTCTATTCGGCATGCGCGAGTGCGTGTTGCAATCGACGACAATATCTGCCAATGAATAACTGTTAGTGCTGTTAATTCTTCTTTAGAAAACAAAAGCAAAACAAAACAAAAGCAAAAACTTAGATAACAATATGGTGATTGGTCAAGGAGCCGTACCATTTAATGGAAATGGTTGGAACGTTCCCCAAATCGGTCAAGGAGCTTTTCCAACAGGACAACAACCAATTGGAACGATCAATAATCGTGAGTAACTTGTTGTCTAACTGTAGACTGCTGTAGACTGCTGTAGACTGCTGTAGACTGCTGTAGACTGCTGTAGGCTGCTGTAGACTGCTGTAGACTATTGTAGACTAGTGTAGACTATTGTAGACTATTGTAGACTATTGTAGACTAGTGTAGACTAGTGTAGACTATGTAGACTATTGTAGACTATTGTAGATACTGCAGATATAGCAATGTTCTTGAGATATAAGAGTAATGATAGTGCGCATGTAAAACAAAGCTTTTAAACGGTGTTTGGATGTGATTTTTATTTATTTTTATTTACTATAAATTTCTACTCTATAACTCTCCTCCCAGTGATCGGATCGACTTGTGGTTGATTTTAAAAGATTCTTCATCAAATTTCGCTTAAGGAAAGTGGCATTTGTTTTGTACACTCATTTGTAAGAACATAGAGAAAACGAGCGTCGAAGTTGACCGGCAACCTGCAGAAGCCGGTCAACTTTAACGGCTTATATCTCATGGTAGAAGCCTCGAATCGACTCACAGTTGGTTTTATGAGAATCCTCATCAAATTTCGCTTAAGGAAAGTGGCATTTGTTTTGTACACCCATTTGTAAGAACATAGAGAAAATTTGTGTCAAAGTTGACTTACTTGCCTGGTGAGGTCAAGTAAAAAATTATATAGTAAAAATTTTAATTTTAAAATCTAGTGCCAAAAAAAAGCTCTTTTCTCGCAAAAACTATTGATTATTTTAAAAGGAATCAATGAAAAATTGAGAAAAAAAACAACTTTAGACGCTTGCATAAATGGTCAATGTCCAACTGGATATCAGTGTCAGAATGGTCGTTGCGTGAATCTTTTCACCGCTCCTCTTCTCCGCTGCACTGCTGATGGTGGCTGTGAGAGTGGTTTCAAGTGTGGACCCGGGAATTTGTGTTATCCGACAATCAGTTTGAATTAGAGCTAATTTCTATGGGTTTTATAGGGATTTTTATGGATTTTGATGGATTTTGATGGATTTTGATGGATTTTGATGGATTTTGATGGATTTTGATCGATTTTTTCATTTCACCTCTCATTTTCCCTTATTTATTAGACTTATCTTGCATTATTGCATTGTTGCTTGTTGCCCTATCTTCTCATCATTCATTTCACTTCTCGGGGTAGGCTAGTTTCCGCAATTTTTTTTGCGCAACTGGGTCATTTGCGCAACTCACCATATCTTTCTTCTAAGTCGGCCAATCTTTATGACTTTGGTGTCATTTTGTTGCACTTGTTGAGATCTATAAAACCACACCAAAATCATAAAGATTGGCCGACTTAGAAGAGAGTTGTGGCGAGTTGCGCAAAAAAATTGGCGCAAAGTAGCCACCCCCAAATCTAGTACCGTTTCTTTCTTCTAAGTCGACCAATCTTTATGACTTTGGTGTCATTTTGTTGCACTTATTGAGATCTATAAAACGACATCAAAATTATAAAGATTGGCCGACTTAGAAGAAAGTTTTGGCGAGTTGCGCAAAAAATGGCGAAATTAGCCTATCCCCACTTCTCATCTTGCATTCTATCTTATTTATTCTATTTCTTAAATGAAATTTTTGGTATGATTTTGGTAGCATAGAGTTGAAATTAAAGCTCTAAATCTATTACTTAATTAATAGGATAAATGATTTTTCTTTCACTTTTCGTGTACAAACATTGTAAACAAACAGCAGATCAAATTTTCTATCACATTATAATGTCAAAGATTGGCAAGAGATTTTAAAAAAAGACAAAAAGACAAATCTTTTTGCTAAAACTTTATAGTTTTCACCATTTTCTAATCATTATTGTGAAAAGTTTTTGCAAATCGAAAAGTGATTGTTTATGCCTAAAATTGATGAGTTTGAAGAGTGATTTGGAAAGTAATTTGATATCATAAAATCAACTCGAACAAAATGCTTTGTAAACTAGCAACAATCTCTTTCTCTCATCCATTTTACTTAATTGATTTTTCTTTTTTTAGAACTTTTATTCATTTTAATCAAATTTATAGAAAAAGTGGAAAGCTAGAAATCGAGAAAAACAGATGTGGACTCAATTTTCGCTTTTTGGTATGATTTTGGTGGCCATAGAGTTGAAGTTAAAGCTCTCTAAACATTCAAAGATTAAAGCTTAAAGATTAAAGCTTAAAGATTAAAGCTAAAGATTAAAGCTAAAGATTAAAGCTAAAGATTAAAGCTAAAGATTAAAACTTAAAGATTAACAGTTATTTAGAAATGTTTTAGGTCTTTTTTTGAGTTTCGTTGTCGGTCAGTATAACAAAGAGTTGGAAACTGCATTGTTGAAAAGTTGGTTTTTTTTTGAAAACTAAGCAATTCTGCAACTTTAAAAGATTCAGCTTACAATCGAAAGCATCGTCCGGTTAAAAAAGAGTCATCAACAGTGTCGGTGCAAGTGTTTCTAACAATTACGCATGTGGAGAATGTGGTAAGGAAAGGATTGGTTGAAAAGATTGGTTGAAAAGATTGGTTGAAAGGATTGGTTGGAAGGATTGATTGGAAGGTTGGAAGGTTGTGGAAGTTGTGAAGGATTGTTGGAAGGTTGATTGGAAGGTTGATTGGAGGATTGGTTGGAAGGATTGATTGGAAGGATTGATTGGAAGGATTGAATGGAAGGATTGAATGGAAGGATTGATTGGAAGGATTGGTTGGAAGGATTGGTGAAAGGATTGATTGGAAGGATTGGTTGGAAGGATTGATTGGAAGGATTGAATGGAAGGATTGATTGGAAGGATTGGTTGGAAGGATTGGTGGAAAGGATTGATTGGAAGGATTGAATGGAAGGATTGATTGGAAGGATTGGTTGGAAGGTTGGTGGAAAGGATTGATTGGAAGGATTGGTTGAAAGGATTGGTTGAAAGGATTGGTTGAAAGGATCAATTGAGCGAAACAATGGCAAGAATAGATTAAAAGAATGAATTGAAAAGCTAAAGCTAAAGCAAAACTTGTAGAAATCTTAGTATCTTACCAAAACTTAGCCGTAGATCGAATCCTTATCGAATCCGAATCCTTCGATTCGTTCTCAACATTTCAAAACTTTCAGAACGAGCACGAGCAAACAATGTTAGTGCACGGAAATCTGTGGGCCGGTTGGACAGACGAGTACCTTTTATGGGATCCTAAGGTTAAGCTTTAAAATTTTTTTCTTTTTCGATAACTAATTTGAAGTAAACATCGATTTGGACTTGTTATTTGTGAAACTTTTAACAAAAACTTTCAGGAATGGAACAATACAAAAGCCATAAGCATCGACACATACAAGATCTGGCAGCCAGCACTTTCATTGTACAATAGGTAATCAAATTTATGAATTTTTAATGATTATTATAAAGGAAAATGTCTTTTTTTTTTTGATTTAATTAAATAAAATCTTGAAATCTTGAAATTTTCTAGTGCTAAAGCAAACGCGTGGTACTTGTACATGCATGGATTACCGGCGATGATCAATTGGCAGGGAAAAGTGCGGTTTAAATGATGTATTTGTTAAATGATTGTTAAAAGGATTGATAAATAAGACCAAATATCGTAGTTTTACTGGAAGAAGTACCTTTTAGAAAAGAAATTACCTTAAATACTAGTATTAGTTTACAGGTTTGGGCAAATGGAGCTTTCTCTTTTCATGTCACTTGTCTTTTCGATTTCAGCAATTGGCCTTATGATGAACAGGTTTGAAAAATCATTTCTCATCAAAAAGAAGATTTTCTCTTTTAGGAATGTCCAATTGTGCTTGCTGATTGGGTCTATGATTTGGCTAAGGTCAATCTGTCAGATCCGATGGTTTGTCATTCTAATTTGTACACTTCAAACGCTTTCAACTATAGAAAAAACTTTCAACTAATAGAAAATAGAATAGAAAGCAAATCGAATTTTATTTGACTACAATCAACGCTAAGTTATTATCTATATTATCTATCTATATAATTCTATAAAATTTCAATTTCTAGGGTGAGAGTCCGTGGGCAAAACCGCAAGTGAAGCTCAATTTCGATCCGAGTAATAAAGAAGAGAAAAGACATGTGGCCGGTTTGTTTGTATTTTTTAAAACAAATAGATCTTTAAACGAATCTTTAAACAGATCTTATTCAGATTCAGATCTTTATTCAGATCTTATTCAGATCTTATTCAAATCTTTAAACAGCTCTTTAAACAGATCTTTATTCAGATCTTATTCGGATCTTATTCAAATCTTTAAACAGCTCTTTAAACAGCCCTTTAAACAGATCTAAACAGCTCTTTAAACAGATCTTTATACAGATCTTTATACAGATCTTTATTCAGATCTTTAAACAAATCTTTAAACAAATCTTTAAACAGATCCTTAAACAGCTCTTTAAACAGATCTTTATTCAAAACAGCACACAAATAGGGCTAAGCGTTGATTTTTGGTTTTAACTGTGATTGACTTTTTTTTTTTGACTTTCTTTGCATCTCCTTTGTTCTCACAATCGTCTCAAATTCTCCTCAAAGAGCGCGAATTGATCCAGATTCATCGGGAGAATTGGAATCGCTTCCTAAACAGTTTATTTGAAATTTAAAAATCTTAAACTAAACTTGGGATAAGGAATGGTCTAGATAAGAAAAAGGTAAAAAAGAAAAAGAGTAAAAATCTAGTTGAAATCAGTGAATGTGGTTAAAAGGGCCGCTAAATGAGGCCAAAAGGGCCTAAATGGGCCCCTAAATAAGCCTAAATAGGCTTAAAAGGACAAATGACCAAATACAAAAAGTCTTAGATCCAAAACAAGGATCAGAAGATTCGTTTTTACTAGCAAAAAAGCGCACTTGACTTACAAAAAGTGCTTATGAGCTTTGGCTTTTGGCTTTTGGCTTTTGGATGAGCTTTTGGATGAGCTTGAATGAGCTTTTGGATGAGCTTGGATGAGCTTTTGGATGAGTTTGGATGAGCTTTTGGATGAGCTTTAATCGTGTCTTGTTTTTGGATAGTAATTTAGTTTACCTGATATGCGTTTAACCCTCGTTTCTCTTCTCGCTTCTCTGCATTCATCCCTTGCCAATCGTACCTAGAAAAGTTTATTCAAAAAAAAAGAAGAAAAAGAAAGCAGCTGATAAATCTCAACGTTTTTTTTCTCACCATTTCTTTTGCATTTCCATATCAGCTCCATTCCAGTTGTACCATTTCTTTTGTCGCAATTCGTTTTGTCTTAAATTTAGAGATATGAAAAGAGAAATGTGTAGGTTAAAGGTTTTCTGAAATTCATAAATTCACAAATTCACCTGTTATTTGGATAAGCTGAAACAACGATTGGTTGACTGATCAAAGAAAAGATAAGAATGGAAAGGCAGCTGAGCAGCGGTATAGGCAACATTTCTAAAAAGAATTGAAAAAGTTGGTTATTAGAGGTCATTATAGGTCATTAGAGGTCATTAGAGGTCATTATAGGTCATTAGAGGTCATTAGAGGTCATTATAGGTCATTAGAGGTCATTATAGGTCATTATAGGTCATTATAGGTCATTAGAGGTCATTATAGGTCATTAGAGGTCATTAGAGGTCATTAATTAATCTATTTTCATTACTAGAATGAAAATAGATTAATTAAGGTCACTAACTAGAACCAAAATTACGAAATTTTGAAATAAGCTTAAGGAAATTCTCATTTTTCTAAAGAAATCAGATCAAGATAAATAAAAAAGGGTAATTAAAAGTCATCAGTCAAAAATCAAAGTTGAACAAAATCCTCTAGACGGTTTTTGTCTTGATCAAGGCTACTTTCAAAACATTACTAGATCTTATCTAAGTATCTCAATTTGTAAAGTGATTAATTTCTTGAAAAATGAGAAGAAAATCTCTTCACTTACCAGGAAAAAGAATTGTGAAGAGTTGCGGACCGCTTTTTGAATTGAATGAGAGAAAATGGGAATCGAGACTCAATTTGAATTGAATTCAAATCCAGACCGCCCCCCTTTTTCTTGCATATTTTAACGCAAACCTCTTTAACGTCTTTAAAAGAAAAAAAAAATTTGCTAATGGGGCTTTGATTTAAAGAAAGAAAGAGAAAGAAAATCTCTTTTTAGATTTATTTTTTTTTTAAACACTTACAGCTACGGTGAGATGACGGGGTTTTAGGATTCAAAAATGAATTTGGCTTTCGTTCTACCTCTGGCTTTTGCACAGTTTTGATCATTTAAGACTTGGGTTTTGATTTTGAAACATGGCAAAGTTTAAAATCATTCTTTAAGTCACCTACAGTATGTACAGTGGTCCACAAAAGTATTGTCCCATTGCCATCCAAAAGTTTCTTTCGTACGAAAATCTTGCAAAATAACGGTATTCCCAAAAAGTGTAGGGTATTCTGCTTACCCATAATCCTCTACTTTTCAAGATTATAAGATTTATCCGTATACATTGCAGAAAAATGAAAGTATAAAACAAAAACAATAAGTTACTTAACAAATAGCCCCACAAAAGTAATGTCCCACTTGATTGATTGACACAAAAATCAAATAAATTGATTTTTGTCTCATCGGTAAATAACACTTTCGCCCAATCACGTGTCGTCCAATTTCGGTAGGTCCGTGCAAAGTCAAGGCGCTGCTTACAGTGCTTAGATTTTATCAGAGGTTTACGGGCAGCCCATCTTGCATATCATCCAGCTTGATTTAATCGTCATCTGATCGTTTCCGGCTATACAACCCTGCTAAATTGATCCCTCATCATTCGGCTTCCATCGGTTGGTGCTTTGTTAGGATCGTTTTTCACCATTTGGATCACGGCTCGATCTTCTTTTGTTGGTTGGTCGTCGGTCACTCTTGAGGCCTCGATGAAGGTTTCGGTCGACTTTTGATTGAGAAAGAATGCGGCGCACCGTCCTTCTCGAGCAATTGAAGAGGTTGACCACAACCTTTTCCCGCATCCCATTTTCCCGGGGGCATTGGCGATTCGGAGTGTCAAGGTTTTTCTTGCCAGCCATCTAAATAATAAAATAAAATACATTTAATGTTCATAGAACGCGAAAATAAAAAGAATAATCAAGGAAAACATCAATGGGACATTACTTTTGTGGGGCTATTTGTTAAGTAACTTATTGTTTTTGTTTTATACTTTCATTTTTCTGCAATGTATACGGATAAATCTTATAATCTGCATTTGCATTAACAATTTACATTGGAATATTCAATTCTTTCAAATAACATTCTGAATTTGAATGAATCCCATTCTAAATCCCGTTCTCAATCCATTCTCAATATCGTTTACGGTACCTCTCTCTTCCAAAATCACCTAATCAAAGAGAATGGGATTGTTGAGAATTTGAAAGTAAAGAGGTAAAGAGATAAACAATTTCTTTAGTAGAGTGTCCTCACGAGTAATTTCTTTTTTAAAACGCACACTTAGGAAGAAAGGACCGTACTTTTAGCGAAAATTATTGCAAAAAACTCACGAACGATGATTTATATACGACTCTAAAGATATTCAGCCGTTTAACTGACCTTGGTGACAAATTCCCCTTCACAAGTAAAGATATTCAATTTAAAAGTGTAAAGAGGATCACTCGTAGTCGATTAATCGAGTAGAAATTACTCGTGCTCAAATTTTACCCGAGTAAATTACTTACTCGCTGAGGAAAACACTCTAATCATAACCGTACGATAGAGTGAATGCGCATAAAATTTCCGTATTCTTTCAAGAAGCACTTTTCAAGCCAATTTAAGAAGTAAACCTTACGGACTTACGGACTTCCTATGAAGAATTTCTTAGGAAGTTCTTAGGAAGTAAGTCCGTAAGGTTTACGTAAGCCAATTTCTTATCTATATAAGAAAAGCTCGATTTTTACTTACTCACAAAGGAAAACACTCTAGTTTTTAGGCTGGGAGGTGTATGACGCTTGGCGACGTCATTGTTATTGGGGACCAACCGGCTGCAAGAATGAGGTCCCAGATGGAAATGTGAGTGAAATAAAAGGAAAACATACCGTTACTCTGGAAATTCTACAGCTCTCTGTTCTCTTTGACATTGATATTTACTCGAGATTTTTAGCCCGAATGGTACTGGTCACTGCTCGAGTTTGGGGTGAAGCTTCGACGCCATGCGCCCTATTTTGTTCTCACTGTCGTTTTGCCTACGGTAATAGAGCTCTTTAAGCGCTATAGCAGCCTGGCCAGGTGGCCGACCGGGTAGCAGTCTTGTCTCTTAAGCGAAAGGTCGACGGTTCGATTATGCTGACAAGCTAGAAATCTCTGTTTTTCTCCACCAAGCGGTTCTTTTTATTTGTTTCTTTATTTATTTTTAATATCATTGAAAGTGTCGCCTTAAAGACCAGATTTAAACTAAAATTTAGACTCAAATTTAGCCTCAAATTTAGCCTCAAATCAAAGCCTAGAAATAGGCTTTTTCCAGTTTTTTACTGCACCCAGAATATCTGAAACTTGAATACTTTTCATTGAAAATTAGAGAAAAAAGCAAAAATCTTTCTTTTTCAATGACTTCATCGCCATTCTCAAAACCCACACAATCGCCATTTCAAAAGAATTCCTAAGATTTCGGTTGAGAATTCGGGAAATCACCTCCGGAAAAGCTCATTTTCGAGAGAAAAAAAAAGAGGAATTCTTGATGAAACGAGAGAGAAATCGAGCCGGATGCGCAAATTGGCTTTACGTTTTAACGCTTTTAGTGAGGGTAATGAGCTGAATTTTTTGAGAAAAATCATTGAATGAACAAACGAAATCGTGATTTCTGAAATGGATTTGGTGAAATGAAGGAAAGAGGAATGAGGGAAAGATGTTGAGGTTGATTAGAAAAGTCACTGATTAGAAAGCACTGGTTAGAAAGCACTGGTTAGAAAGCACTGGTTAGAAAGCACTGGTTAGAAAGCACTGGTCAACAACAACAACTCTGAATAGTTTTGTCTTTTGCTTTCAAATGAAAAACATTTCAGTTCCTCTCCTGTTTGCTGACGTTGGCCTCGTTTTGGATCGACACCCCGTCGATGGCTGTTGGATTGAACGTGTTCAATATATTGTTGCAAGGTAAGCAAACAAAGTAGATTCATTAATGTCATTGTTTAGGCCTTTTCGGATGGGATTTGATTCGCGAGTTGCCACCTGGTTCGGGAAGTGTGCCGAAAATCGGTGAGTGGCAAGCGGAAAGATATAGCTCGACTCGGAAAGATATTCAGCTCGACATTTTCAATCACTCACTTCACATATGATTCATAATGACTCTTGATTACGCTAGATTACGAATTTGACTTGATTCATATCCCAAATTTAACTCCAAAATTTAACTCAAAAATTTTGTTGACATAATGTTGTGTTTGACACTAGATCTAGGCTGTTTCAGTCTGCTTGCTTCCTGCTTTCCTAGTTTCTCAACTGATACCAGCCTGAAACTGAGGAAATTATTGCGATTTAAAAGTTGGCGAATTTACAAATTTATCCCTTCAGTTTCCCTCTACGGATTGAATCTCTCGCTGACGGCGATCGCTTTCACTTTGCACGTTTTCATGCAATATTTCGAATTCATTTTGCCAAAAGAGTTCACCATTCCATTGCCAAAGGTGCAGTTTGTTTGTTGATTTGTGAAAATAATCTTTTTCTTCTTCTAGATTGGTGAATCTCTCACAAAACTCTCACAATATCAACTCTTTAAGTCAAAAGGGCTTACCTTTGACCCACAAACGTGAGTTTTTATTGTCAAGTGGCGCCAGAAGAGATGCGTTTCTAGAATAAAAAGTCTATTGATCTGATAAAGCTTTCAGTCTCCTCCAAAACGAGAACTTTGACGAGACGATGTATAGCTATGATCAATCGTTGCCAAAAGTCTCTTCAGGGATCTCGCTTGGTTCCGGATCGGTGGTTGGTTGTTGTACAATTGGTGAACCGGCTATTGTATAGAGTTATTGAGCCGGCTATTGAATAGAGCTATTGAACCGGCTATGGAATAGAGCTATTGAACCGGCTATGGAATAGAGCTATTGAACCGGCTATGGAATAGAGCTATTGAACCGGCTATGGAATAGAGCTATTGAACCGGCTATGGAATAGAGCTATTGAACCGGCTATGGAATAGAGCTATTGAACCAACTATTGAATAGCCGTTTAGGGATAATACCCGATAAACAAGATCGTTCAAAATCATTCAAAATCATTCAAAATCGTTTAAAATCGTTTAAAACCATTCAAAACCATTCAAAATCGTTCAAGATCATTCAAAATCATTCAAAATCATTCAAAATCATTTAAAATCATTCAAAATCATTCAATCGTCCATACCTTAAGCTATATCTTAAGCTTTCAAATGAAAATCCACAAATGAACTCGCTTGGATCAGCGGATGGTTTGGTGGATTTGGGTGATGATGGGAATGGAGGACAGAGTGTAGAAGAAAGAGAACAACCAAATGGACAAGGTTTGGGGGAATATTGCTTTAAACACTTTCTTTTACTGATCTTTTACTGATCTTTTACTGATCTTTTACTTCGTAATCAATCCCCAATGAGATTTCCAGTTGAAACAGTGATGACAATTGTTGGAAACGAATCGATCGCTGTTGACACTAGCTCCCCACTCACTCAACAAATCTTCCTCATTCGACGCACCGTTTTCTGTTTGATGGCCATTATTTATGGGATTGCTTTCCCAATTTGTACAATTAATTGGTTTTAAGTAAAAATTAAGCAATTTTTTTTTGAGTAATTTCGAAGAATAAAGTGTTTTTTCGACATTGATCATATTGAAAGAACTGAAAAACAAAACATTTGAAAACAAGTGAAAAACAAGTGAAAAACGATCTATAAGCAACCTATAAACAATCTATAAACAATAAATGTATGTTAAAAATGATCTACTAGATTGTTCGATTGTTTATAGATTGATTTGATGGGTCAAGCGGTGGAGAAAAGTCGCGTTCTTGTTTCAACTCTAAAACTTAACCTATACATTGACAATATGATACTGTTAATGGAAAGTAAACTGCTCTTGACTAGAGTCGTTTTAGAGTTGAAACACGGCTTGGCTCCACCACTTGGTCCATCAAATCAATCTATAAACAATCGAACAATCTAGCAGATCATTTTTGACATCTATAATCAATTTTGATATAAATGACATGTTTAAGGAAGATTCTTTGGCTTTAACTCCATTGAAACAAGTGTCCAGTTGTGTCCTTTCCATTGATGAGAGCTTGTCTTTCTATTATAATCATTTAAAAAAAAAACACCCCCAAAAAACAAACCCCCCCCCCCCCCCAAAAAAAAACCCCCAAAAAAAAAAAAAAAATAAAAAAAAAAAAAATTAATGGAAAAAAAATTTATTTTTTTACCCCTTTAAAAAAATTTTTTCCTTTTTTTTCCTTTCTTTGGAAAAGCCTCTTTTTAAATAAAAAACATTTTGGATATACATGACATGTTTAGGGAAGATTCTTTGGCTTTAACTCCTTCAAACAAGTGTCCAGTTGTGTTCTTTCCATTGATGAGAGCTTGTCTTTCCCCTTCTCCCTTTCCTCTCCAAATGTTTATTCTGATCATCAAGAGATTCTTGTTTTCATTCTTTTTTTCTTAAAAGTCTTCTTTTTTTAGATTGTCAGATCACTTTCCTTTCCTCATTTTTCACAAATTTTTTCATTTTTTTAAGTTTTTCTTAAGCTTTATACTTGAGTTGAAGAAATATGATAAGTCTTTTGTGGTTGCTTTATTAAACGCTTTCTAATTCACCGAATTCTTTATTTTCCATAAATATCACCATAATTATTGATTCAATGCACTATAAAAGGATAGGTTATTCAGAAAAGTTCAGTTTGTTTCATTTCATTTTATTGTTCATCAATTAATCTACCGATTTTTAACATAAAAAAAGCTTTTGTGATTATTTTAAATGTAAAATATTAGGTTATTCAGAAAAGTTCAGTTTGTTTCATTTCATTTT